TTGTCTTTGTCATAATCATTAAATTACACTATGATTTAAAGGTTGTTTTTTTTCCCTTGATAAGGCTTTCTTGACTTTTTTTTTTGTCCTTTGAAAAGGCTTCCTTATGATGTAAGCATGCTTTGTAGTTGTAGACTTGAATGTTATAGTAAAAATATTTGTTTAATGATAGTTTTGTTGACTAAAATAATCTTAAGTTGGTTTCATTAAGTTATTATTTGAAATTAAACTAAAAGAATGAGGAGAGTACACATGTAAATTAAGTTATTTCTTGTTCATTCATGCATTACACTAATGAATAAGATGTTTATAAAATTATTTTTGTTGGTATATATAAATGGATGATTACCTTTTCTATATATGAATGAATAAGATGTTTATAAAATTATTACTACTGGTATATGAATTGATGATTACCTTCTTACCTTCTATATATATAAGATAATTTATAAAAATTCTAATTGAATTTTTTTGCTATGTAGATGCTTCTTTGTAGAAATTTATGATGGGATCATTTATTTTAGGAAATTGTTTATTTACTCTGAGCATTATGTTTGTAAGGGGATTTGGTTTTATTTTGGATGTTATACATTTTGTTGAAATAAGGCTGTTATATTTTGTGATGCTTGATTAGTATATTGAATATTGTCAATGAGTTAGGTTCATTGAGCTTGTTAGTTACATGACGTGACTACACTTGTTAACTTTTTCAAGACTTGTAATATTTTGTATGAATTAAAATATTTTAGTTTTGAAAAGGGTTTGTAATAGGTGCATGTATGTTTTTTCTTATTAAGGTGGTTTTGCAATTGTTTGTTCATTTATAGATTTTTTAAGATTATCTTGTTCAAAGTTCTATTGAAGTTTTAAGGTGATCAAAAGGTATTTAGATGTCCTGTGGTGCAAACTTATGATTATGTTTTTTAGGGTAAAATGGTGTAACTCTTTATTTATATTTGTTTTATCGAAGTTTTTTTTATCAGACTTTGTACAATGACATTAGTTTTTCACTTATACTAAGTTTGTGGATTATAAATAATTTACTTGTAGTTTTAATATTATTAAATATATTTTACTTTATTGTGTTTTTTTTTTTTTATATGAAAACATATCATATTATAATTATAAATAAATTAATATTAATAATTAAAAATATAATTTTTAAAAAAATTTACCAACGTCTTAACATTTATACTAATGCACTTGATCGTTGAATATTTCAGGCGATACTAACAGTCATCAATTGTCAGTAAAACATAATAAAAAAATTAAAACATATAAATCTATATTGACAATCTCTAACAGTCGGTATAGGTAAGAAAATTAAAGCATACAATTCTATACTGACAGTCTCTAACTATTGGTATAGGTAAAAAATTTTAAAAATACAAGTCTATACTAACGGATACTAAGCATCAGTATAAATAAGAAAAATTACAAGTTTATACTGACAGGTATTAACTATCGGTATAGGTAAGAAAAATTAAAACATATAAGTCTATATTGACGAGCTTTAAGCATCAGTATATGTAAAAAAATTTTTAAGTTTATATTGACGGGCGTTAACCATAGGTATAGGCAAAAAAAATTAAAACATACAAGTATATATTAACAAGTGTTAACCGTCAATAAAATGTATAATAGTGAAACACATAATAGATGTTATACCAACAAATATACATTTACTGATGGTTTTGAATCATAGGTATATATTTGCGAGCTATTCCAACACCTTAAAAACTGTCAGTATAGGTCTATACTGATAAATGATATATTAATAGCAAATATTTATTAGAATACACATTTTGACTGTCGATATAGGATTTATTGTGCTATATTGACATATTTTTTTTATTTTACAAATGGTTTTTTGAGTGTCAGTATATGTTAGATTTTTTATAATAAAAGTATTATTTTAGAAATTATTGAAGATTTTAATTTAATTTTATATTTGTTATCTTGCATGTTTGTGAGATTTGTTCTGTGAGTATGCGGTATTGTTACATTCTAAATTTTCAAGTTTAAGGCATGACACTTTTATTTTCTTTCAAGTAGAACCAATAAAAAAATATATATGTAACGAAATAAACAAATAAACAAGTATACTATCACCAACCATCCAAAAAAATTCAACTGCTTAAAAATTTGGTTGAAAATCCAACAACAATTACCTCTTGAATCATTCAAATTTGATTGAATTAAACATTCACGAAATTTGATCTT